TATTTCAAAATATAAAAAAGATTTGCTTCATATCCACAAGTACACCTGATATTTCTTTTCATTTTATTTATTGACCAAATAGTTTTAGACAAATATGTTACATTGTACATCATTTCCTTAATATCTACCAATGAATATACTTTAAAGTTTATGACAATTTGAACTGTATGAAACAACAATAAGTAAAAAAAAAAACTTCAGTTGTCAGTTATTCTTCACAGTGAACATACAGAAGTGAAATGCTTCTGATTGATTGATTGATTGGTAGACTGAAAGTTTGTTATGTATTGAATGTCAAAATAATTTCATGACATAGACGAAAGCAACTAACAATTGTACAATCAAAAATGTAAAACTATGCATGATGATGTATAGTTACGTATAATGATGATTTTTTTTGAAGAATAAATACTAATTACATATGATTATAGCGTGTGAAAATTGTATAAGATTTATTGTTTCATCCATATATATATATATATATATATATATATATATATATATGTATCAATGTATTATTTGTTTATTGACTTGTTAAGCAGTGACCAATGGAGTTCAACCAGATCTGTTGTGAGATATCAACTCACTGAAGACAACTGGTGAATGGTTGTTCTACTTCGTGGATTGGTTGAAGTTAGACATTAACACCATTGTATGCCGGTTCAGTGGTCTGATAGGTCCTGGGTTCGAATCCCGCGAGGCGAGACCATGTATGTGCACTACTGAGGAGTGCCACGGTAGGACGAAACGGCCGTCCAGTGCTGCCAGGTATTTCATGGTGGTCTAGCTTCAATTGACTGATGCTTTCGACTATGCAAATAATATATTTGTATAATCTCAGCGAATGAATTTGAAATAAATCCAACGTTTCGCCTGGCAATCTGGTCTAAGCTTGGACCAGATTTTACATATATATTATTTCTATTTAATGTCTTACATTAACTCGGCGCCCAAATACTGTGAAATTATTCGCTCTAATTTAGACGAAAGTTCTTATGTAATGGAGAATATTTTGTTGTTAATTTAGTAAAATATTCGAATAAAATACTGAGAATAAATGAACTAACTAATTATGATTTAATACATTTAATTACTTTTTAAATTATAAAATAGTGCTTAACTGAGCTCTAAATTATTATCGTTCCAAGGGTATACTTAGTTCAACTGTATTGGATGCAGGTTCAAACATCTAAACTGCTTGATATTAATAATAATAATAACAGTTACACTCTAAGGACTTGTAATTGATTTGTCTACAAACTATATGTCAAATTGGACAACAGGCCCCACTAGCTAACTCCATAGACTCGTATACCACCAATGTACGCTTTGTCTCTGAACACACATACAGGCTAATCATTCAGTTAACCTATGTATATCTGCGGAAGTGACAGCAACTTCTCATGATTTTGTTGGTATACGTATAGAGCAGAACAATTACTTATTAAATGGATTCCGTTCAACAGTTACTTATATGCTATCCGTATAACTGAAACAATAAGAGGTAGGAACACACTTCATTGCCTTGTCGCCTCTCAATCTATGCCCCCTCATTAATTGTAACTGGAATGAGGTAAACGTTTTGCAAGAAGCCTTTTGTCCTCCTTCACAAATCCATTAGCTCAGATTTTGTAGCCGCATTAAATGTTTCTAAAGTTCAAGTTAGTGAGCTAGGTCAAACTCAAAAAACAATTGCTTATTCCTGGCAAGGACAAACTTTAAGCATAACAAAAAACACTGTTTAACCTAGAGGCTTCTAACATCAACAAAACAACTGGCATATATAGAATATATATTCACCAAGCATTGTTAGAAGGCTACCTTTCCTTATAGAGCACATGCTTGAACCTCGATCATGCTTTAGTGAGGGTATGTATACGTTTTAGTGGATGTAAAAATGTCACGATGGGAGGACTTGTAGAGTTCGATTCATATATATATATATATATATATATATATATATATATATATATATATATATATATAAGTTACAGCTTAAGAATAAGACTTAATGCCATCTGATTGGTCTAGTTTGACGATAACTGGAGTTTGTAAGAAGGGGCAGAAATAATCTTATTATAGCAATATAGTAATCTGTTTGACTAGTATTATAACTAAAATATTAGTCTCAATAATTTTCCGGATCCTAATTGGTGCTCATGAACAGGAAATTCTGGGAAAACAGGACGGTTTCAGATATGGATGTGCACGTAGTGATCAAGTATTTACTCTTTTAAAGTTGCATTTCCTAACCTTAATATGCCTTTTGACTATGTTCATCGGGATCGTTAATCACTTAAGGTTACATCACTAAAACACATAAACCTTATGAAAACACTCAATTTGGACACTACTGGTCATGTCATAGCTTATGGAGGATTTTCAGGAGAATTATTAACCCCAAGCAGCGTTTTCAGGGTTTTCCAGTATCTTTTTTAAAAAGATATTCGTAGGCTACTAGTATTTGATTACGGATGCCTTTGAAGTATTGTTCGTGTAACATGAGACAGGTGGGGGACAAATTCTACTGTTAGGTTTGGGGTAATAGGCAATGACAACAAATTAATTGATGAATTCGTGAATTTTCATCAGCTGAGGTGGTTCGAACATGTATTATGCATATCTAACAACCGCCCACCTTGATAGCCAATGTTGTCTGGAGTACGAGTAGGCTAAAATACTAGGGACTACCAGAAAAAATCTTGACATCACACTGTGAATTCATTGTCATTTGGACTGAGTTGTGTGGAAAGATTCAGATCACCTGTTTTTGGTTTGCGCGATAACTGCCATCAGTGGTTGGAAAGTTGGATGATATTGGCTAAAAATCATGGTTTTACAGATTCATTGATTCTTTATCTACCCTTATATATTGAATTTCAGTATTCCTTTATACATACCTTTACGACATTCAGTCTTTTTCATAATAATGACTACCATAACATTTCAATTATTTTTTGCTTATTTTGTTAATTTCAACTCTGCCCGTTAAGGTAGTATGACTATTTAGTTTAACTCTCAACTGGCTCAGGTACAACATTGATTACGACTAATTTTCTTAAAACTATTCGTAACAAAGGTCCAACACTATCCTATTTTACGATAAATTATTGATAGTATAATTAAACAATCCAGAAACTAGTAAATAATTATTATGCATTATTTTGCCTTAAATTTACAAGTACTTTTAAACTTATTTTCAATTCTGTTTATGATAATCAATAACAGTCTCACTCCAGATCGCTTAACCTCTAGACCACTGAACCGGCATCTAATGGTGTTAATGTTTAACTTCAACCAATCTACGAAGTTGAACAACCATTCACCAATTGTCTTCAATGAGTTGATATCTCACAACCATCGGATGCCGGCTCAGTGGTCTAGTGGTTAAGTGCTCACGCACGAGACTGACAGGTCCTGGGTTCGAATCCCGCGAGGAGGGATCGTGGATGTGCACTGCTGAGGATTCCCACAATTGGACGAAACGGCCGTCCAGTGCTTCCAGGTTTTCCATGGTGGTCCATCTTCAAATTACTCATGATTTCAACATTGAAAATACTGAAATCTCCACAAAACCCCTTCTGATGATAACCAATAAGTCAAAACTTCAATATCTACCAAAATTCATAAATTAAAAAAAAATCCTAAACAACTTTTCCATATAACCTGATGACAACATCAATTTTCTGATTGCCTTATCACAATAAATAAAAAAAACTATATTTTGTGACAAAAACCTGAAGACAAATAACATGAAAATATGAATCTAGACTTTAACCTAGTTAACAAGTCCAAAATGTATACACTTCAAAGAAGTGATATTTAATATTGATATCATAAAGAAACTTTATTATTTCTCTCGATTATTCATTAAAATTTGGTTAACTGATTATGATATTCAGAAATAACCCCACAATAGGACGAAACGGCCATCCAGTGCTTCCAGGTTTTTCTTGGTGGTCTAGCTTCAATTGACTCATGCTTTCAACTATGAAGAAAAAAGGTATTCAGTAATTCAATCATTTACTTTAAAACATAAAATTTATTCTGTTCTTCAATTGGATTAATTGTATTTTAAAGTTTCTGTTATATAAATAACCTATTACATCATCGAGTTAACAATGATAAATATATGCATATATATTATTATAATGATATCTACATTTCTGAGTAAAAAGAAAAAGAGAGATTTCGTTATCAATGTTATCATTATTTTCATAAATAATGACCATTCATAAAAATGAAAAATTAATGTGCTTATTTTATTACATTAAACACAAATAAAGAATATCTAAAGAAAAGTCTTTCTGTTTGAGAAAATAGAGAAGAATGGAAGGAGTGTAATTGAATAAACAAACAAATAAGTAGATAGTTTCATTTAAGCGATTAAAAAATATAGAAAATAGTTTGGGGGATATGGGACAGAAAGTGAGTGAGTGAGTGAGTGAGTGAGTGAGTGAGTGAGTGAGTGAGTGAGTGAGTGAGTGAGTGAGTGAGTGAGTGAGTGAGTGAGTGAGTGAGTGAGTGAGTGAGTGAGTGAGTGAGTGAGTGAGTGAGTGAGTGAATACGAAACCGTGAAGACAATAAATGTAACATAGACATTGGAAGTAGTCTAGGAATAACATTTTATGGAATCAAATAGATAAAATAACGATGGGAAAAAAGTCGTGGATAAAGTGGAATAGAGAGGAACATGATGCTAAAATTTTTTAGTAGAATAAGAGAAAACAAAAAAAATCAGAAACGTAAAATTGTGCAATTCAATTGTAATATGAAATGAAATAAATAGAATGTGTTTGGATTATATTACGTTGGCGATTTAACATGAGACTAATGGTCATAATGGAAGTATTTAGAAAAAAACAACACTGTCAATGAGTGAAGTTTGACTTTGTAGGAAAATTATTCTATGGTCTTTTTGGCACAATTGAAATCTTTCGTATATATATATATATATATATATATATATATATATATATATATTAGAATTGAAAATAAGAGCTGATAGAGCAATTAATATATTTATGTACACCGGGGGGGGGCGGGTGGAGATAATTAAATAGACCAATAAATTAAACAAATAAATAATCTTCAGTAGAAGAGAATTATAAAGGAAGTATGAAAAAATAGGTTAAGGGATTGAATTATTTAACTCGTAAAGTGTTACATATGCTATTTATTATTACTATTATCGTTATCATTATTAGTAATAGTATTAGTGGTTGGAGAAAGAGAAGAAGTAGGACCGGCGGTAGTATTGTTAGGGTTTCCATGAATAACTGAATTATTTATCATTGAGCATAAAGTTGAAGAATTATTAACACAATCTATTATTGTAGAAGATGATGATGATGAGGAGGAGGATGAATAATAGTTGTCAATATATTCATTTTTATGTTCAATTATTTTATTTCGTTTATCATTTTCTTCTTTATTATGTAATTTATGCTCATCTTCTAGATTACAAATATATGAAAATGTACAATTTGAAATATACGGGGAAATGATTGAATCTTTAATCTTATTTTTTGTGAATGTACATGGATTACTTTTATCTTTCTCATTATCATTATTAAGAAAGTTATTATTATTATTATTATTATTATTATTATTATTGTTCGATAGGGGAATACTATCGAAATTCTCACAACATTTCATTTGATGATGTACCGTTGAAGGTAAACAATCAATATTGTTTATCTCATCTATCTGATGATGATTATTATTGTCTAATGAGTGATGAGTTAATTCATCCACATTATTATTATTTATATGAGATGTTATCATTGTTTTATCATTATTTAACATTGACCATCCTAAATAATTTGTAACTGATATTCCATTTCTATTATTTAATGAAAGCCAATTTGATAATGAATTAGTTACAGGAAATTGTACTCCACATGTTAATGGTTCTGATAATGATAAATCTGTAGAATTACTATTATTATTACTATTACTATTATTACTATTATTATTATTCCCTTCTAAATGTCCCTTTAATTTATTTTCATTCAATTGTGAATCTTTACAATTGAATAATGAAATTGTAGATGAATTCGTTTCACAACTTGTTATGATAGTCGGTGTAGAAATGACTGGTACATTTGTCATTGATAAATTATTATTATGATGATGATCATTATTGATTGTAGATAGAATATTACCAGTACAAGATGTAATAGAATTACTATTATTGTTATTATTTATAAATGAATTATTAGCTGATAAATTAGTTTTAAATAAGATACTACTATTTTCTAGATCAGAATCTGTTGAATTCGATTGATGACTTGTTTCTGAATAGATTGAATGTTGTTGTGATTGTTGGGTTAATAAATGATCTGATGTTAAATGTTTATGATTCGGTTGTAAATTATGCATAGATTGTGAATTATTATTATTACATGTATATAAAAGATTTGTATCAAGTGAATATAGATTATTATACGATTTTGGTGAGGAATTCATTTGTTGTCGTTGAAAATGTTGAGATTCTTGAGATTGTTGATTATCGGAATGATATTGATTTGAAGATGGTAAAAAACAATATGATCCTTGACGTTGTTGTTGTTGTTGTTGAGTATAATAATAAGGATGTTTTATTAATCCCAAATTTTTTTGAGTTTCCATTAATAAATCATTTGCATGAAATAAATTTTGGGTATATTCATTCAATGCATATTGTGATGATGAATGTTGTAAATGATCCATTTGTTCTTCATGTTGTTGGTGATGTAAATTAACATATGGATTACTATTACTATTAATACTATTATTAATTACATTGTTATGTAGTTCATAAGAACGATTTAAATTCAATAAGTCTGATTTCATCTTTACACTATCCATATTCATTTCATGTTGTGCTATGATATCTGTTGGTGAAGAAGGTGTTATTTGTGATAAGGTTGATAAAGACTGTCCGAAATTTAACGATGAATACATGCGTGAATTCGATAAAAATGGATCAATATTATGATTGGATGATAAATACGATAGATTAGTATTTGTTTTCTTATTATTATTAATACTACGATTATTAATCATTGGGAGTTCATTGTCTAACTGTCCCCACATAAATGTATCATTACGAAATTGTGAAATATTTTCAGCATGTTGTTGAATTGTTTCTTGAAATTCATTATAATTTAAATTATTTCGTTGAGATTTAAACTCTTTTTCAGTTGGACCACATACTACTGCTGCTAACTGTGACATAAAATCTTTTGAAGATGGTGATTGAATGTTAATACTACTATTAGTTATATTAGTAGTTGTATTTGTATTAACATGTGTAAAACTCTCTGAATCATATTCATTTCTAGTAGAATAATGACGTTTTCTTGAAGCTTTACGTAGTGAAAAATCTGAAGTTTGTATAGGACTATTTTGAGTTTTTTTTCTCATTTTATTCAGTGTACTAATACAATTGTTATTATTGTTATTTTGAGTAGTAGTGGTAGTAGTATTATTACCAGTACAATTAGTATTACGTAAACAGTCAACATTATTTCGATTCATCATAGGATAAAAATAATTTGTAGTATTAACGGAATTATGAGACTCACGTGTTGAAAATTCTGTCATATTCATGTTATTACGTGTACATGTACGTGAATCATTTGTATTAAGTTGATTATTGTCATTATTATTATTAATATTATTATTATTATTATTATTATTGGTTGTATCACTTGAGTTCGAGTGGGTATCATAGTCTGTTGGATTTAATGCATCATTCGGTGATAAATAATGTACACGTAAATGTTTACGTAATGAACTAGGATGTGTATAACTTTTATCACATCCTTTAAATCGACAAAAATATGGTTTATCATTCATATGTACATGCATATGCTTTTTTCTATCAGAACTATTAGCAAATCGACGATCACATCCTTCAAATTCACAAACAAATGGTTTTTCACCTGAATATAAACAATAATTTTTTAAATAAAAAAATAAGTAATACAAACAGTTCATACGGTAAAAATTGTTTTAAATGAAAAATTTTAGAATAAAGAAAATATATTAAATGTAGAAGTCAATAAGTTTATTCGCTAGACCACCATGGAAAACCTGTAAGCACTGGACGGCCGTTTCTTCCTATTGTGGGACTCCTCAGCAGTGCGCATCCATGATCCCTCCTCACGAGATTGCAACCCAGGATCTATCGGTCTCGCGCCACAGCGCTTAACTACCAGTTCACTGAAGCGGCATCCAACGTTGTTAATGTCTTACTTCAACCAATCCACGAAATTGAGCAACCATTCACCATTGTCTTCAATGAGTTGATATCTCACGACAGACCTGGTTGAACTCCAGTGATCACTTCTTCTCTCTAGAACTCCAAGAAATATCTCATGGAGCCAGTCACTAGTGATCATATATCGATTAATATCAGAAGGGGGTTTTGTGGATATTATAGTCATTTTAATAGTTGAGATCTTGAGTTAATTGAAGCTTGACTGATAGGTCCTAGATTCAAATCTCGCTAGGCGGGATCGTGGATACGCACTGCTAAGGGGCTCTACAATAGGACGAAACGGCCGTTCAGTGCTTACAGGTTTTCCATGGGGGTCTATCTTCAATTGACCCATGACCTCAACTATTGAAATTACATATTTGCTTTTTCTGGGGTATTTATCATATTCTATCTAGTAAACAGTCAGTGTTAGAATGTCTGTCATATATGAAGCTAGTCACATACTAAATATCTTAATGATAAGGTCCCTGAATGTAAAATCGATTGATCTCGGCGTAGGTCATATTGGATAATATTATTTCATTCAAAACTGCAGATATATTTTGTTGATGATAGTCAATCAGAATAAAATTGAAATCTAGAGATTCCTATCAATTGTCTTTAACTAATTAATATGATTGATTATAGTTTGTCTATTAAGTTTCGATGTAGAATGACTAAAATGATTGATTCTATAATAAATAAAGTACTCAGACTTAATTGAACTTTGTTTTTGTAGCAAATATATTTTTCTTGCTTATTCATCTAGTGATTACATTAATTTTCTGTCTTCTATTTATTCACAATATTATCATTCTACTTTGTATGGAACAACAATTTTTATTACCTTAATATGACAAATTGTTACGTGCCATAAATAAATGAATTTTCATAGGTTGAATCATAAATTGATCTCAGAAAGATATCGAAAACATTGAAATACTGAAAGGTTGTTTCCTACTAGTATGAAATTCCCCACAAGTGCCCACATACAACCATCAATTCAGAAATGAAAAATTTCACAAATTCCATCATGTTTATAGTAATCATATGTTTACTAATGATCGGTTTCGAGATCTAACTCATAGAATACTACTAAGAAGCCGTGATCATTGAAATTCAATCATGCTTTTTATGAGAGATACCGATTTCAACTGATGAAACTAGGTAAATAAAGTTATTCGGGTTTCACAATTACATTATTGTTTAATGACCTCTAACTTTGTAGGGTAATATGACAGCTATGAATGATATAAACAGTAAACTTTATGTTTCTTATATACAGTTAAAAGTCTACAACGTTTCTATCAGATTTAATGGAAATTTTTGAAGAACAGATATTATCAGTTTAATTCAACTATGTTGAAAGTACAAGAATTATCTTTGATATAATTGAATTATAAATATCTTATTATCTTGAAATGATTAAGATTTCTAAAAAGTGAAGTGTATCAATATTGTCAAGCATTTTATCAGACTATTATCTCTATACTGTATATGGGTTGGAGAATGCTGGTCGGCGGCTTATGCTCCATTGGGAGTAACAGGCGTAAGTAAGTAAGTAAGTATATAGTCACAAGTTTGAATTGTTAATGAATTTGAAATGAGGATAAAACAACTTTCATGTACTTGTTAGTTTTTAAAAAAAATAGTTTTTTATAGGATGTTAGCCACTGATTTACAAAATTCAGAATATACCCCCAACAAAACATCATCATTATCTTTAACGTCAAATTAGTCAAATTTTCAGATCATATTGTTTAATATTGTAATGTAAACAGTAGAACATTGTTTACTATCTAATTTCATAACATAAAGCAAATTCAAAATAAAACAACTAGCAACCATTTGTACATTAAAAATTACTGAACATTGAAAGTGTAAGAAGAAGAGTTCTATGAAAATTTACTCCTATATGTAATTCTTAATTGAACTCATTCATATTTGTTTGTTTCTTTTGTTTGTTCGGAACTGATTTATATAATCAGTAGATTAAAACAAAATACACAATAATAATTGCAACGATTTTCTTGATTCTTTTCTTTTTCATTCATTGATAACACCAATTTTAAGAAGCACTACAAATAGGACCGAAATTATGTCTTATTAATCGGATACAAATGTGTGTGTGGGTGTACTATCTATACTATTTTTCATAGATTTAATTTCAATTAAGTTTTAACCCTACTTGAAAATGATTATGATTTAACTTTCTTTTAAACAACAAATTATAAAACCAGTATGCAAGAATAATATATTTGTAAAATCTCAACGAATGAATTTGAAGTAAATTCAACGTTTCGCCTGGCAATCTCGTCTAGGCGTTTTCAAGGAAATATGAATATCGATCGATTGATTTTAGTTAATTCCTTGAAAAAGCTTGGATCAGATTGCCAGGCGAAACGTTGGATTTACTTCTAATTCATTCGCTGAGATTTTACAAATATATATTATTCCTATTTAATGTCTTACATCAATTCGGTGCCCAAATACTGTGAAACTATTCGCTCTAATTTAGACGAAAGTTCTTATACATTATGTAAGAATATATTACTTTTTGTTGTTGTGTTAGAAACAAAATGTCCAATTGACAGTTTTCACTAAATTATGTTTTATTAAATTTGTTAAGTATAGCAATTTATAATTCAGAAGTTAGTACTAATCTCGGCAATCTTTTTTTCAAATGAACGCCAAATGATTTAGTTTATTTCAATATACTGATTAGAATCAATGATATGTAGGGTTATTGTAACTAATTTTGAAGGTATACTTTATTACAAATTAATTTCATTTGGAGAAAAACTATAAAATAATAGATAACTGAATTTTAGGTTACATTGAAAGTAATTTCACAGCATATTAATATCTCTGTAAAGAATCACCCGACTAAATTATTATAGTATGTCTTAGTGGTGACAAGTATTCGAAATGAATTCTCTGAAATTCTACTCATATGTCGTTACCTGTATAACCGACGATATTAGTAACAAGACAGTTATACATTGATTATATAAGACAAAAATTGCCCTACACTTCAAAATGAATGAAGTTGTTGATTATTGAATGATAACTCATTGACCGAATAGTATTGTATACGTCTTGCTAGTGTATTTATTCGCTGTGAGTGGTTACAGAAATACTTTCCAGCTAAAGGGGAATTTAGATAAAGACGATGGAGGTATGTAGGATATACATTATGGAAATCATCAAACTACATCACGAGACAAGTGCTAACTTAAAATATTGGAGGAAAACAGAAAAAGAAGAATATAAAAAAAACACTTTATCGGGAATCGGAAGCAGACATCAAAAGGATGAGTAGCGACTGGGAAGAACTGGAAAGGATTTTCCAGGACAGAGTTGGTTGGAGAATGCTGGTGAGCGGCCCATGTTCTTCCATGAGTGGTAACAGGCGTAAATAATTAATCACTGTAATAAGACAAAACCATTGTTTGGCATCACTGATTCTACAAATAAGGTCACTCTATGAGAAAAATTAACATCGAAATTTATGAATAAACACAGAATTGCTGAAAATTAAAGGTAATGAGTGCTGACTCGACTTTGTAGGAAATAAATTATTGAACTATTTATTTTGTGTTGTTATTGTTACTAAAAGATTAAATTTTAGAAATCAGGTTAACTGTTTATCAGTTCAATTCATAACATTCATAACATAATACTGTTATATGGTAAGTAATATTAACTTAATGGATCTGATATTTTCAGCCAGAGAATCACCGAAAATCAGTGATTACTGTGCTAGGAAACACTTACAATCATTTATTTTTAGATTTTCTAACAAGTTACAATTCTGATGAACAAAAATGTTCTCGGTGACATCTTTCCAGTTCCATTTCTCCCTTAGTTTTCTATTTATATTGTCTCAAGGTTATACTTTGCTTCCGACAATATCAAAGGTTTTCTGAATTCCTATCTTCTGTCTTCATTAACATGAGAAGGATTATTATAACATGTGAATTATTCGTCGAGCCTTCCTGAACATATAAATTCCAATCATATTAAGCAATATTTCAAATCGTCCGTAATTCGGAAAAATCGTTAAAAGTTTCAAAATGGAATACACTTTCTAAATAACTATCTACATTTTGAATCAAAGGGTATCAATCTAATAGTTACGAGATTTTGAAAAGTTTGATATCATAATGAAACAATCGTTGTATCTTCCATTAGATTCAATGATATATCAATACATATAAATGCTTAATTTAAAAAAAAAACCCGACCCTTTATTCTTTAAGAACTAAAGAATAAATTTAACAATGAATACTACATTATTGAGATAGAAAAAGAGTGATTAAATCCTTAAAAAGATAAATTTATTTTTCTTAATCATATTAGGCATTCGAGTATGTGATAATTCACGTATAGATCATATATCTTTTACAATTCAATACCTAAGTTCACTTATGAGTGGAATCTTTTCTGAAGTGTGGAAAAAGCTATCATTTTAATGAATAGTTATTTAATTTACTGTTTGAGTATGAGTTAGGTGTGTGTGTATATGTGTGCATATATATATATATATACATAAGTTAACCTCCAAATAAATAGGGATTTAAATGTACAAACATACAAACAAACATACAAAACATTGTACATTCACAGTTTAACTATTCATTTGATAATCTTTAAAAATAAGAAAACAATGCATGTGTATCT